TTAGCGCGAGGTCAGCGCTATGCTTGTAGCGCTCCGCTGCATGTGTGAACAGGCCTTAAGTGTCTTCGAAGTCTAGGTCAGGCTACGCGTGACCGATGTACCCAGTTCCCATACTATCTCCCGATAACGCCACAATGATATTGGTGGAGAGCAATGGGGAGGCGTCGAAAACGAGACACTTACCTGGCGATCGCCTGTATTGCGCTCATCGTGCATCAATGTCTTAACGGTTTTTTGGAGAGGGAGAGTCTGTCTGGAGAACACGTTCCTCCCACTGATAACGATAGCAGACAGATTCGGAAAAGTGGACGAGTCGGTTTTAGTGCAAACACGGCGCGACGATAACACGTATCTACTTTTTTACGCTCCCCGCAGTATCTGCCTAAAAGCATCGATACAGATGCTGCGAGTCAATAAGGCCAATCAAGCTGTGCCACAAACGCAACGCTGTGGCGTTCGTCGAGGTTTCTGGAGGCAGTGACAGACGGGCCTATGAGCCTACATCCACGATGGCCTCTATTTCATTTTCAAACTATACATCGCCAACAACAACAACGAAGTTTCTGAACGCGTGCTCTCATCGGCATGAATGACTTTGCACTTTTTATAGCGATAGCTGTTACGGGTTCTTCCCACCACCAAAAATGACGTCCGTTGTTGATATTGTAGTTTGCGATGAAGGATGTCCGTCGTCGAGGTTGCCAAATCCCGAAAGAAATCGCCCCCCACCCGCGGGAATTGAACCCATGGATTCGCTGCGCGCGAAGTGGAGGCGTTGTCCCAGCTACGTCCCAGCGACAGTAACAACCGGCTTTATACTTTTTTTTTTTTTCGGATTGGAACAGTGCTTGCACTGCACGAGCGCGCGTGCTTGGCAGGGATGCTGAAAGCCCGGAGCTCGCGCTTGTAGCTTAGCCGAGCCGGCCGGGCAGACGAGGGCGAGAGAGAGAGGGAGGCAGCGCGCAGGAGAGGAGGCAATTTGTGTTCTTCCAACACGCTTTCTCGCTGTGAAAGAATGTTCCCCGAGTGTCGGAGAACAAGTTGGGAAACATGGTTTTCGGACTACAGCAACATGTTTCCGGACTGTTGCTGTTTCCGCAATGTGACAGGGTCCCCGAAAACATGTTTTCCTCGTGTTGAAGGACAAAGTTCTCCGACTGTTTCCGCAGTGTGACAGGGTGCTTCTTTGTGCCATCGATTCAGATGATTTTGACGATCAGCTGCCGCCGCGCAAGAAGCCGCGTTCGAAATTGCCCTTCACACTTGACGTTATTATTGAAGTATTCTCGTGCGACTATCTGTACAGAAAAATATAGATGTTGCCGTGTTGCTGGAAACAAATTCGCTCAGCCACCGAAATGGGCAACACGTGTCGTCCGACACAAGTTGTCGAGGTTTCCGTTGCCAAAAGCTGTTACACCGAGACAACATTGTCGCTGTCGTCCATGTTGTGT